AAAAATTATCATGATTTTATTTCAAAATTCCAGTCTGTTATATATGAAACTGAATGATTTAACTCTTCATCATTCTCATTAATATGCAAATCACTCAGCCAATTAAAATCATTCTTATGAACTGTCTTCTGGGAATCAGTTTTTGAGGCATCATGGGATTGCTCTACTTCCATATCTGAATCAGAATTTTGAGATTTTCCTTCTATTTCATTATCCTCCTTCTCATCTTCTTCTTCCTCTTCTTCTGCTTTTCTGAAATCAAAGAAAAAAAATGTGTAAGACTATATTAATACAGAGAGTTTTTTCTCAAATCTTGATCATCCACAACAATTTCAACTGTGTTTGTCTGCATTATCTGTATGCAAAATGTCTCAAAATTTTAAAACAAATTCCTACAAAAATTTTTCGAAAGGTGTTCAATAGCTCAAGGATAAAATCTAGTGGATGCAGGAATATTTATAATTTCTGATTTTCATTACCAATAAAAACACACACTGTATGTTATTTTCACTTAAATGTTCATTAAAACATTCAAATTGTATTTGACACATGCTGACAATGTAATTATCTTTACAGACTATTTACCATGATGCATTGAGTTTTGACTTTTTAAAAAAGTTTCAGTACAGAAATTTTTTGTCCATGGTTATGTTGTAATGTGTCAGATCTTTCAGCTATTACAAATATTTTTGTTTCATCAGTAAAATGTGATGAAATACCTTTGAAAATTCTGTACCTTTCCATTAAGATATTTTGAATTTCTAAAAAAATTTAAGTACTCTCTTTTATATAGTTCTTTAAAACTGTCAGATAAAAAAAACCCCAATCTTTTGGTGATGCATAAATTACTGATTTTTTGTGCTTTGAATTGAAGAAAAACAAACCATTAGCATGATAAAATACCTTTCTTTTTGTTTTCTATTGATAAATGAGTTTAAGAATGGCAAACAAAGGGAGGTAACTGGTGGTTGAGCGTGTGCTGCTGACTCCAAAATCTGAAATACATAATACTCCTTTCAAAGAGGGAAGTAAACATTAAAATGTTGATAAAAAATGCAATATGAGGAATCTTTTCACATTTAATGTGAAATAATGATTTTATATACATATACTTGAAAATTAATTGCTATTTAGCAAAATTTTTTGTTAGAACTCTTAATATTTTTATATTATCTCTCCAAGGTTTGATCTTCAAATTTTTTGTATTTTTTTTTTTCAAATCTTTATACAAAAAAGGTGATTAAAAATGTTTTCTTTTTTCTTTTTCAATTTAAGTCATAGTGAACAATTCTGCAAAAGTTGCACAACTACCTAAATAACCAGCCAAACAGTTGTAAAGAGCTGTCCCTTATTTTGTCTACCTCTTTCCCTTTATTTTGTCTATCTCTATCTGAAGAGTCTGTTCTACATGTATTTCACTGTTTACTACTGACCTGTTTAGTAATGACAGAGGGGGTGACCCTCTCTATATGTCTCCCCTTGTCCTGTAGAGGTCTCCTCTTGCTCCCCATAAAGACACTGAATGGGGTGGATGGCAGATTCTCCTGAATGGCTCTCTAGAACAACAAAAACGTAACTGTGAAATCACTAGTTTCTCTGGGGGTTCATTTTCATTGTGATCATAGTATAAAGAGAACCAAGAATTCATGTGCTTCATGAAATGTAAAATTCAAACAAATAACATCTCAGCACTTCTTCATCCATGAAATGACACATACCCACAAATCAATAGAGAGGTTGAGATCTTAAAATTGTACACGTACATGTACATATACTTTGACGTACACATTTTTGTAGTTGGTCTGTTGAGATTTTAATGCCATGTAACATGAACGTGTACACTGCGATCGATGTCTCCATTTCAACTATTTAGTTGATTTGTGACATCTCTCTGACTTTAGCCAGTAAAAAAAAAATGGTTGAAATAAGTGCTTGTGAAAGTAAACATCCTAAATAATATACAACAGTTATGTTCTCACACATATATTGACTAATTTTTATTATAAAAGCTTCAAGTTTACACTTATGTATAGATACCACTCTACAATTGTAGGAATGTGTAGACAATTTGTCATCACTAAAACTGATGATGTAATACACAAGGAATTTAGGGAATTTCCCTACTAGACCTACCCGTACACATACACGTATGAAATCTCAACCTCTCTATTATTTTTTCATCAAACCATGAAAATTTGATCCTATGAAAATAAGTTATTTTACAGTAATACCATTATGCACCATTATAAGTACAGTCTAAACCTTGATGTCAAACTTAATGGGGCCAAGAAAAAACTTCAAGATATCTAAGGATTCAAGATATTGAGGTTAAAATACAAAAAGAAAAAACAGTTGGGATGTCCAGCTCACTTTGATATGTCCATGCTATTCATATCAAGATATTGATAATCTAGATTCCAATTTCAATTGTACTACATTTACCAATAACAACATTCATGCATTTTTAAAGAAGTTTTCTTATAATACATGTATCTCTCTTTCTAATTTGGTTATTTTTTTATTCTCACTTTGCATCTATGACTTTTTATCTCGAGGGACAAAATTAAAAAATGTTCAACCAAACCAAAGTCTATTACTTAAAATTGAGAATTTTATTCCTTTCCATGCATCTAATGTAAACAAAAAGTAAATCCATTACCTTTACAGTAAAACAAGCTTATAACAAAGTGCCAGGGATGGAAATTTCACTTTGTTATAAATGTAATTTGTTATATCTGTTAAGTTCACAATACTTTTTAAAACCACAGGGAATGAAAATCATTTTTCCATAAGCATAAATTTATAAATGTGTTTGCTTTAAGCATGTTATACTGTATATCTAACTGTTCAGACTACACAGAAATACTAACCGAGTCTAAGGCATTCCTTTTCTGTTCTTCTTCTTCACTAACAATGGTAAGAAGTTCTTGCTCTTCATTAAAGAAATACAACTGTGAGGAAGTCTGCCATTCCAGTTGTTTCCCTTTTGTGGAAGTCTTCTTTGTTTGAGGTATGAATATTGCACATGTGACAGGTGACTTTGATAGTAAGGGTTTGGAGTAAACTATGTCTGAACTTGAAGGCTTAAATATGTACACTGAAATACAAAATACTCTGATAATATTCACAGTATAAAAGCAGTGATTGGGAAGGGCTTGTGCCATGTGCCATATAGTCGCATTGAAGTGAAAATTGGCCCATTAAATTAACCATTTGTGGCGCCAAGGTGCGCATTCAAATTTTAGCGATGTTGGTTGGAAATATATTGCGTACAACATTCTTGCTTGTTTTATTTTCATTTTAAATGCAATCATTTTAATACAACAAATCTAATTGGTTAAAACCCGGCAAAAATTGCTTCCTGTTACATGAAGCGCTTTATTTAGGACAACAAAGGTACATTACCTCACTCACTTCCAATGTTTAATTGAAATTTTGACGTTATTTACCCAAATTGTAAGAAAATTATATTGTTTGTGGGTTCCTTCGAATGTGCTACACTGCATACATAAAAAAATAAAATTTAGTTAATAAAAAATGTGTTTCCTTTCATATTTCACATTTGTTTGTCATTTTGTTTTTTCTTAAAATGGCCCATCAGAATATATAGATGGCCCATTCACTTTCAAAATGGCCATTTAAAATTTTTGACAGTTGCGCCATAGTCCCATTGACCTTTATGGCATTCCCAATCACTGTAAAAGACCATATAATAAACATTTACATTAGAAATTAAACTTCGGGCTCAAATTCATAGCAATTATTTTTGTTTTTAAAGCATCACTTTCAGAATGACTTTAAATATGCAACTGAACAACCAAAATATTCAAGGGACTTTCATTTATCATTTTATGAATTACTGACCTAAAAATTTTTTTTACTGAAAAACTTGCAATTCAGTGTCAAAAGGATGTGTATTTAATTCAACAGAAATAAAAAATATTCTGCTCCACCAGTGGTACTCACATTTCTGTTCATTGTCAATAATGGCCATATATGAAGAGAGGGGATCAGCTGTCAGAACACAGGCATCCAAATTGATGCACCACACCACTGTAAATAAAGCATGTCAATGTCAGTACACAGGCATCCAAACTGATACACACCACACCAATGTAAATAAAACATGTCAATGTCAGTACACACACATCTAAACTGATACACACCACACCACTGTAAATAAAGCATGTCAATGTCAGTACACAGACATCTAAACTGATACACACCACACCACACCACTGTAAAAAAAGCATGTCAATGTCAGTACACAGGCATCTAAACTGATACACACCACACCACTGTAAATAAAGCATGTCAATCAGTACACAGGCATCTAAACTGATACACACCACACCACTGTTAATAAAGCACGTCAATGTCAGTACACGGGCATCTAAGCTGATACACACCACACCACTGTAAACAAAGCATGTCAATGTCAGTACACACACAACTAAACTGATATACACCACACCACTGTAAATAAAACATGACAATGTCAGTACACACACATCCAAACTGATACACACCACACCACTGTAAATAAAACATGTCAATGTCAGTACACACACATCTAAACTGATACATCACACCACTGTAAAAAATTATTTTAAAACTCTTCATGTCAGGTCTACAATGTATTTAATAAGTTTTGATACACTTTTGAATTCAGACAATTGTACAAATTATAATAAAGTTAAGAATTTACTTTTAAATCAACTGTGGTATTTTTTTTTTTAAATATTTACAGATTCAGGGCCTACACAGTAATTGATTATATATACCATTAGAACAAATCTATAAAAATAAGGAAAATGTGTCAACATTTCTCACCTAAAGACTTTTTAGCAGTAGTTAGAATTAACAAACTCTGCATAATGTATTTTGGTATCTAAGCCTCAACAAACTCTACAAAGTTTGAACAACAAAAAATACCTGAACAACTGTATAACATGTACAGGTAACATCTAAATACCTACATGAGCAGGTGAGAAGATTCCACACACACAGTAAATCAGAGGACAGGCTCACCAACAGGTGACAACAGGAATGGTGGCCAAACTCACATTGTCTTATAAAATAAAAAGAAAAACATTTCTATGATCTAAAGGTCAAGGTAGTCATATAGCAACAGTCCAGGGTTGTTCCTAAGACCTGGGGAATTTCCCCACCTACAATGACATAATCCCCCAGTTACTGTAGTATTCTCCCTTCATTCCCTGTTAGGGGAGAAACCCCGGACCCCCTTTTTCTTTTTTAAAGTCCCTGCTATTTCATTTCTTAGGGACAACCCTGCAACTCATATCTACATGTTCATTTTAATTGTTTAAAAATATGCAAATAAAATGTTTGAAACATTCCCCTCAACAGAAACAGCATCTTTATCCTCAACAAATTTCTATCAAGAAACATGTCATTAAATCACACAACTACATGTTCATGTCAATTGCTTATAAATATGCAAATAAAATGTTTGAGTGGGTGTAGCAGGAAAATCTGAGTGTAAACTCACTTGATATCAGAACCATCTGTCTGTCTGTGGAAGCAGTGACGTAAAACATTGGTGTCGGAGTCCCAGATGGTGAGTGTGGAGGAGAATCCTACAGCGAGCAGAGATCCATCTTCTGAAAATGATACCGGACCAGCAGGTCTATCTCTGTAGTATCCAACACAGTCACAAACCCACTTAGAATTCTTCCCTTAAAAAAAAAAAAAAAAAAAAAAAACCTCTCTTACTATGTTTTTGGAAATTGATGTTATTTATATTATATTTCATTCAACAATTCAATAAGAATTTAGCCCTAAAAATACGTAAATATGTGAATTGCTGTTTACTTGATCGTAACTGTTTTTAGTTTGAAATTAAACCTGTAGTTTAAAAAACCCCAAAGAAACAGTACATATACATGTAAATGTATTTACCTCTATTTAAGTTAAAGTCAACAAAGTCAAGAATTCAAGAAATACTCCCAAGTCAAGCACCTGACAGAACTCACTATAAATATCTGTATCATCTACAAGCATCCAAGTTTTAAATTTGCCTTCTTCACTAGAGGTCACTACACTGTGAATCACATCAAGGTCATCTCCATGGGGACGGAACTTTAAATCTATCACCTTCTTGTCATGGGGATAATGAACTATAGTGTTCAGGGTGTACCTTCAAAATAATATCAGAAATACATTTAAGTAGGATACTTGCTTTATCTCATATTTTGATTTTTGTTGTTTGTTTTTTTTTGTTTGTTTGTTTTTTTGTTTTGTTTTGATTTTTTTTGTGACAGCCATATGAAATATATGAAATATAACTATTTTAAGTTTTATTTAAGGAGTTTAGAAATTTGTTTGGAGATACTCTAATTACTCTTGTGACTCTTCTTGGTACATCCAAAACTTGAGTTGTATATCAGGGGTCATGACCCCATCATCCCACATGTCAACTGTTGCTAACCAGTCGCCATGACTACTGAAGGCAGCATTGGTCACCTCTGTGGGGTAGAGTGGTTTTGAAAGGTCCTCTGGGGAAGTGTAGTTTTCCTGTACAATGTCCAGCTACACAAAAAAATAACATCTGTCAGTATGTTTCATGACCCAAAATCACAACATAATAGAGGCAGTTTCCCCTAGGTAATAAGGTCATTTTATCCTAAAAGGAACTAAATTTTCCCAATTTTTTTCCACGTAAAATCCTTCCAAAAAATAGATGGTAAGTACTGATTTAAATTTTGGATGAAAAACACCACCTGTTTCTGTAATAGTATCTGGTACATTACTTCTACACAAATAGAATTTTCTCTGTTACAATCAAGATATAACAAAATCTGTGCAACAAAATTCAGCCAACACAGGTCAAAGAGAAATTTTAATGAAATAAATCATACAGAGTATAACCCTTTTCCTGATTTTAAATTTTGTACACTGATCATAGTTTATTTGAAGTCCAGTCTTTGTTTTTTGATTAAAAAATACACATCTCTGGCAAATATTTCTTTAAAAAAAAAATTCAAATTTCTATGATTTTTTAAACATGAAATCCATGAAAAAACCAAACTAAACCAAATTCAAAATTTCTTTTAACAACTTCAACATGTTCAATCCCTCAACAAATTTTCTAATACTACACAATCCTTACATTGTACAGCTGTTTATCAGCCTCCAGGGAGTAGAACTGTAAGTGTCCGACTCGTCCATTGGTGACAAGAGCCTTAGTCCGGGGGTCATACAACAGCCGTACAGACTGTCTGACCAACAGCTGGGACTGGAGGTGGCACAGGGACAATCCATCGATCACTTGGAGCAACTCAAAGGTGTTAGAAATCAGATTTATACCTGGAAAGATTAAAGATCATCACAAGTCTGATATGGACAGAGTTTTAAGCTCATACAACTTGGTTTTTGCATATACATAATACTGTAAACCAACTTTTATTCGTGTGCGAGAAATATCCGCGAGTTTCGTGACTTACTTTAACTTGCGAATATTAATCGCCGCGAACCACTTATTTTGCTTTATATTGAATGTGTACTTAAAAAAGCAGGCTTCATATTTTAGCGGCTTTGGCGCAGACAACGATGCGCTATTCATGAATACTGCTAATAAATCATTTATTTATACATTACATGGCACAGACATGTGTAGCGCTAATTTATGATTGTGCCAACAACTCCATACCCCTTGATTGCACTAAATTTTGAATACGCCAATTTATTTACAAGTACCGAGAATGTTTCCTCAGTCGCGAAAGTTAACCGTCGCTGATTGAATTCAAACAGAAAAATCACGAATAAAAGATGACGCCAATAATTGTTGGTTTACAGTATATAATAGTAATGGTTTTAAGTGAATGATGCTGTATAACTTTTCATAACCTTCTATTATTCACATTGTACTTTTCATTCCTGAGTGATTAATCTAATGATCATTTACATTTTTAGTACTCCTCATAAAATGTAAAAGGTAGCATAAAATATTCTGCAATAATAATTTCTTTGTATAAGAAGTATGCCTAATGTTAGATTATAGTTTTTATAACTAACCACACTGCATTTATGTTTTCTTAATAAATGAACAAATTAATTAATTACATTAATTAAATAACTACTTTAAGTTTAAGCTATATTACAGAAGAAATTCAAACTTCTTTCTACTGCTTACAGTTGTCTTGGTGACAAGTGACGAAAATCTGGTTGTCAGGGGAACAGACCACATGATCTATTGGGGCCCTAAGACGGGGAAGAAATTCTCTCTCTTTAGAGTTATACTGCCATTTCACCAAAACATTCTCATGTCCCCCACTCAGCAACTGTGAGCCTGAAAATCAAATATTCATATCCATTTAATCTAAATCAGATAACAACACAATGTTTATCCTCAATTTCTTATAATTAGCTCCTTACATTATTCACCCCAGTGGGGCTTACACATTATATCATCTTGCATTTTCAGTAGAATAATCTCTGAGACTCACCTTCAGAAGTAAACTCTAGATCTAGGACAGGCAGGGCATGCCAACTATAGGAAGATTTCACCACTCTGTCCTTTGTCAGGAAATTCCACCTTTATCCAAGAAAAGTAGAGAGGAAAATAATTTATTCAAAAGATAATTCCCAGATAAGAAAGTTTTACTTTTTGAGAAATTCAGTTATATACCTGCACTGCAAGATTTAGAAGGGATATAGAAGGAATTAATTCTCTCATAAAGGCATGCAAATTCAGGATTATCTTTTTTTTTGGTTTTATTCAACAATAAATTCATTTTGATGGAAATCAGTCATATTTTAATTCTCTTCACTTGTTGAGAAGCTATTACCAAGTGGAATAAATACTGGTAAACACTTTAAAAGAGTTTCGTAAAATTAAGATTGTAGTGTCAAAAATTTAACCTAGAATACATTTTGGGACCCTCTTCCTAAAATTTCAAGTTTTTATTTGCTTAACAAATCACATTCTAATCAAATGATCAAAAACTACTATACAATGGGTCATTTAAAAGTTTAATTCAGTTTTGGTAGTATTTTGTGAATATGAAAATTTCAACCCCCCCCCCCCCCCAAAATCCAAGTCCTTTATATTTTTGTACCCTTCTTTGCAAGTGATTCACAAAAATTGAAAACACAAATATTTGAATGATCAAAATCCCCCAAATTTTGACCCAAAAGGGATTACATGTAATTAGCCTTTTCACGATATCTGCAGTACTACTCTTTTGCAGGGCAAATAAATAGCGTTTGGCAAAGTTTTTGATGACAGATAATTAAATGACGTATATTAAAAAATTTGCCTTTACATTATATTTCACCAAAATACATCATTTTGCCCTGCAAAAGAGCAGTAATGCAATTATTGTGACACAGTCTATCGTGACATATAGCATACAAATCATGATTTTGGGTAAGGTTGTTCCAAAGTCACTGTGTTAAAATTTACCAATAGACAATCGTTCCATTTTCACAGCCCGTCACAATGCAATCTTCAGTTGGATGACAAGCCACACAAGTGATAGCTTTGTCAAAATCATCGGTCAAACCATGCCTATAAAATCACAATTGTTTACTATCAGTCTATCATTTAATGAAGAAGAATTATAAAATTGTAAGATCTTTTCAAAATGATTATATACATGTACCTCCCAGAAACTGGTTGTGTTTAGGCACAATGATCTATGAGTAAAATATGGTAATTCCAATGTTTTACAACTTTAAAAAATTCCACTGTTACACTTTTCAAGAACATGCATAAAAAAAACATTCCTGTATTTTCATATATTGGAATGTGCAGGACTCACATGAAAACCTCTGATTTTTTGCAGTCATAAATGACAACCTTTTTCTTCTTTGCTCCGACTATGTATCTTCCCTAGATATAAAATTAACAAAATAAACTTATTGAAAACAAGAACTGGCAAAATTAAATTTTAAAAATACACACTCACATGAAATTATTACTGTGCATTATATGAACTTTTGTTTAACAAAGGGAGAGTGGTAATGGGGGGGGGGGGGGGGTTACATACCAGATTTTTTTCTTTTATTTTTCTTTGTCAAAATTTTCAGTTAAATTCTATTACATTGTATTTTAAAAGATTTCCATGTTAATGAAGACTCTGTGCATTAGAATTACCTTGGCACCAACAGCAACTAACTTTCTTCCCAGAATTATCTTCAGCAGCTTATTCTGAGAGCCTGACTTGGGGTCATATTCACAAACATCAGAATCTAAAAAAGATGGAAAACAATCTTTTCAATTTCAATGGCAACAAAAAAGCTTATATGGAGGCAATTTTTAATCTTGAATTAATTAAACAGTCTACATGATTTTGAGGCCAAAAGGTCAAAGTTCAAGGTCATAAATTCATTCATTTTGTTTCTGTGTAACACTTTTGTTTCCAGATGATATCTTAAAAAGTCTTTGAGCTGTTGCAATGAAATTATATATCACAACTCCTTATGGCCTAAAGAAGACCCCTTTTGATTTTAAGGTCAAAAGGTCTAAGGTCAGAAATTTATTCATTGCAAATAACATTTTCCAGATGATAACTTTAGTTTTATTTAAGCTTTATTCGATAATATTTAATATCACAACTTCCTATGGCCAAGAGAAGAACCCTTTTGCTATTGAGTATTAAGGTCAAAAGATCAAGTTCATGAATTTATACATTCTATCTGTGTGACACTTTTTTTTCTAAACTTTATAAGCCTTTGAGATTTTGTAATGAAATTTTATATCACAACTCCCCATGATCTTAATAAAACCAATATTGATTTTGAGGTCAAAAGGTCAAGGTCAGAAATATATACTGTACATATAGTTTTCAGATAATTTTAGTTATTAAGGTCTTCCGTCTTCAGCGGAAGACCTTCTTGTTTTTCTTAGGTTTCTTTTCCACTATTTTTTGTTATTATTATTATTGTTTTTTTTCTTACCGATTTTGTGCACGCGAGTTCTCGGAAACGGCTCGCTCGATTTTCATGAAACTTACAGGTCTGATAGAAGATTAAAAAATCTAGATGTATATTTTTTTGTTTTGATGACGTCACTTCCGGTTCCGAGCTTTCCGCGATTTAGTGATTTTCGGAGGGTCACTTTGTCCGGCAGTTTCCCCAAAAGGGCTTCCTGGTAGAAGCATGAAATTTTTCAGCGATGATAGAGCATTATGTGTAGATGTGACATACGCATTTCTTTTTCCCCGGAAGTGCCGTACTTCGTCGTTCGCTATGGCCCGAAAAAAGTCCTATCGGGATTTTTAAAATTTCTAACACTTTTTCTACAATATCTTTTTACCTGTAAATATTTTGTTAAAACATATAGAGCAAAAGTTGTGTAGAATGATACGATCTTTCAAAAGATACCAACAATAAGGGGCTGGCCCCTAAAATCAGGGAGCTAGAGGGGCCAAAAGTGTTTTCCTGATAACTCAAAAAGTATTGAGAATTTGTATAGCATCATAGAAGCAAAGTTGTTCAAAACGACAAGTAGCAGCTAAGGAGATCATCAAAAGTCGTCAAAATGACGTCACTTCCGGTCACACCGGAAGTAATGGTAAATGGCTCATTCTTGCTCATATGACCGTAGATGTCTCCCGAACTCGATCTCATCTCCTTAAAATTTAGACGGAAGACTTATTTGTTGCTTTGCAACAAGCTCGTCTAGTTCTGTAAGCTTTTGCAATGAAACTTTTGGTCATCAATTTCTTTAACTTTAAAAAGACTGCTATTGACTTTAAGGCCATAAGTTAAAATGTCAGGGTTGAACTTTTTTCTTTCTCCATCTGCAAAATTTTTTCCTGTTCTTTCACCCTCCTCTTTTTCCTTATGCGGAAGACACTAATTCTTCGAATTAGCTTGTTGGATTTTGAAATTGTTTCATAGCATTATACAAGTACAATAAATAATACATCCAGATTTTAAAAAAATACTAAAACATGAAATTTTATTCTTCTTTTGCACTTAATTAAATATGGCAAGCTGTGATACTAACATTCTTTGAAGTTCTTGTCCCTTATGTCTATCCCTTTTGGATTTCGACGAACCATTACAAAAATATTTGTCTCATCTTTGGTAAAACCAACCAAGCCGTAAAGAGGGGCATGGAGGGAATACCTCTGAAAAACAAAATCAATATTACCGGTAATAGTAAAAACTGGAAATCTCATTTTAAAAACACTGGAACATTAGCAATAGCCACTTGGTCTCAGTGCTGGAATTTTGTTGGAATCTTACAGATAGTAAAATACAAACCTTTAAAATGACCCCATCTGCATAGTCCCAGAGAATTATTGTTTCATCTAAGGAACTGGACAAAAGCTGTAAAAGAGGGGTACATACAGTACCAACCAGACCCAACCTGACACAAAGCAGTCCCAGAGCAGTCCCGGGGACTGCTTTCTGGGACTGCTAAAGCAGTCCCAGAGCAGTCCCACAGCAGTCCAAGAAAGCTAATTTAATGGGCGGAGCTTACTCAGAAATGAGATAACCAATAAACAATGTAACTATAAAAGGCAGTTGAAATTGATGATCCATTTTTTTCTGAGCAGTATCAATTCTCATGCGACAGTCATTTCTGAACTGTTAAGAAAATCACACTACGCATATAGAAACAAATAATAAATATATAATAAATAATAAATATTGAACAAAGAAGACATTCACACCTACTAATAACATGAATATTTAAACACAGTTTTGTGGTAATATTTAGGGCTGTGTATTGAGCAAAATATTTCGATACGATACGATATTTTTTAAAGCGATATGCAATATATTGGATTATTTATTAAGTCTTTCACAAATGTCTTGTAAATGACGTTTAATGCATAAATTTCATAAAAACTGGGTGAGTCTAACATAACATGTTAAAATATAGTTGTCTATGTATTTTGTAATAGTTATTTAAGATGTGCTATCTCCTTAATGTTTATTTCATTATTGACCAGTTTTAATTCAAAACAGTTAAGAATAATCTTTGGTAACTGAAATTCCCAACTTTTTTACAGAATTATAAGGAAAACTGCCTGTCCGATACGTATTGGAAGTTATTTTTTCGATACGATACATTCCTTGAAAATCGATACGTATTGAATATTCGATATATTGACACAGCCCTAGTAATATTAATTTTTCACCAAAATAAATCAATTTCTTAATTTACTGTGATTGATATTGGTTTCCATAGTTATTTATTTATTTATTTATTTTGATAGAAAATTAAACTTGAGTTATTTATTTTCTATCAAAACTAAGTTTGAATAGGCCTTATAATTATAGAGCAAGGCCGATTTCCATACTATACTCTGAATGCAGTTTTCTTAAGTACTGGAGCTTCTGAAAAATTCTTTGTGTATTATATTTCAGTCATGATTATTTTCACTGACTTGCCAATTTAATTATCGTTAGATTATCTATGTAACAGAAAACAATAATACTTTTATTATATAAACGTTTGAGTGAACATCTGTAAATCACGCGAATGGAACCCTCAGATTATGTTCAAAATTAATTAATCCCAAAATAAATTTATACACATTTATTGAAACGAAGATATTTTGCAGTACATAAATTGAAATTAGTTTCATTGTTGACCAGCATGTTCAGTGATGTGTAACACTGATACCCAATAACATGCATTGACTTTCTGCTAATCATGCCCGAAGGCGATTGAAACCTCAGGTGTTGACACCATTTTATACATTTGTATTGCTTTTTATTAATCGGCCAGGAAAACACAAACAAAACAAATAAGAAATAAGTCACAATTCCCAATATTTTAAAATGTTTATAAATTTACTCTTTTAATAACTTGTTTATAAACCAAAAACAAATTCATAAATAAATCCCCCAATAATTTTTTACAAATATAATTGTTTATGACTGAAGAATGGTAGAGTAATTTTATTTCATGTTCATTTAATAAATTATTATACAATTATGGACTCTTTCGATGGTGAATAACAAACCATATTCACCATCGAAAGAGTCCATAATTGTTTTCGCCTCGGTCAATATTGATATTTTTCTGGTGAATAACAAACCATATTCACCATCGAAAGAGTCCATAATTGTTTTATTATATAGTCAGAATTTGAATGAACAAGACATAAAGACTGCCTGACGATTCCATTTTCATTAACGAACTTCTGTCGTAGAAAAATAATCAAATGTCCAGATTACAACCTATATCTTCCATGTTTTCCTTTCGCTGTGTGTGAGACATCGAAATGTTAAGAAAATAATCCTGCCATAGACTTGCGAAACAATTTTTCCTGCTCAAATATCCAGCTAGCTCCGACCGTTGCAACCATTGTGCTCAACGTTGTTTGAGGTATTGATTGTGACGTCACAATGCCACTGCACGTGCACTCACCCTCCGGTGAATACGGCTTCAAATCCGGTGAATATGTAGTGTTATGAACTGTTTGCGTTTGTATAGATTATATAGGGGCTATTTATAGACTATATAATAATAGGTTTTATTTGAGGGCGGTAAAAAATAGCATGGAATGCTCTTTTTTAGCATACATATGGTTTAAGCTTTTTCAATTTAAAAAAAAATCCAGTACAGTACGTCCCTCTGAATGGCTTATTGTAATGAAAAGTTTGTTTGTTTGTTTTTTTTTTTTAATAGCGCTAATGCAAACTTTGAGTACATACCGTAACTTGACAGCAGTAATTAATTAAATAGCTATAGGCCTCGGTATTTTTATTTCAAACACCTGTATTAAAGTTTTAATTAGCATTAATTAATTAAATAGGCCTAGATATATTTTTTTTCAAACACCTGTATTAAAGTTTAATTTAAAGGATAAAAGTCATCTCCTGACTTCCTTTTAAACTACTTTCATTTTTTAAAATTAATTCTAGACTACAATTGTGTAAATTTACAGCCCCTGAAGACATTTAGTAATTACATGTATATCTATCCCTACTTATTAAAATGTTGTAAAAAATCCTTGGGTTTTTTTTATTCTTTATCTTAAACACCTCTCTGCTGAAAGTAAACAAAACAACAACAGGGAGTCTGAAATTCAGAATACACAAGGGGCGGAGCTATCATGTCACTCAGAACCTTTTTCATGCATGAGTGAACAAAGCAGTCCCAGAAAGCAGTCCCAGGGACTGCTGGGACTGCTGGGTCTGCTTTCTAGAGCAGTCCCAGAGCAGTCCCAGAGCAGTTCCACAGCAGTCCCACAGCGGTCCCAAAGCAGTCCCGGGGACTGCTTTCTGGGACTGCTTAGGTGTCAGGTTGGGTCTGGTTGGTACTGTATATCATACATACTGCATATCATTTAAACATCATCACTGCCTAAAATAACCCTCAGCTTTGCAATTAAATATTTTACAAAAAATTCAATGTAAAATTAAATCATTATATACAGATCACATGACTTTTTTCTTATACACTTTATTCAGAATATTTTTCTTCTTTTTTTCAAGTGTTAATTTCACTTTTTTTTCATCTCTGCACATGCGAAAACAATTTATAATACTTGCACCCATTGATTTTATTAATAACCCAACCATGAAATTGATTTGAATGGCATTTTTGTGTTTACTCATGTGTAGAAATATATACAGAGAATTTCTGCTAAAGTGACATGACGATACTTAATTGATGAAAATATAATGATACAGGGCAGTGATAAATTCAAACTAAAGTGTACTTTTACTGCTTTCAAACATGTAAAATGTAAATGTAGATCAAGTGTAAACATGTAAAATGTAAAAATAGTTTTTTTTTCTCTCTTAAATATATACCTGTAGTTTATTCTTGGGACTGATGAGGACACCTGTGACTTCATTATGGTGGCCGGCGAGGTGATGCATACATTCTCCACCGTTTACACTGTAGACCTTGATGTACTTGCCAGATAACACAAACAAACATCTGCAAAGAGAAAACATGAAAAAATTATGCAACCAAGACATGATATGTATAGAAACTTTAACCACTGCATTCTATTAAATATATACACTGTATAATATCTTATCGTTCAATTCATATTGTCCTGATTTAATGAAAAAATGCATTCAATGTATTGGCAATGTAGCAAAACAATCAAGGGCGATAACTCTAATCAAGGAAAAATAACGAACAATTCAGAGAATTCTTAATGACAAAATGGCAGATAAATTTGAAACAAGCAGAAAAATATTGAGAAAATGAGTAGAATGCTATTATATGGATTAATTTATTGGTTGGAAGCTTTTCTCAATCTTAAAACGGTTTGTTATGATAAGTTTGGTGGTTATTTTCAATGTATTTTCATTTTTTTCCTAAAATCGGTTGAATTTCTAACACATGTAATTTAATTTTGGCTGTAACATGACATTTGATTGGATAAAAAATTAGTTTATAACCTATAACCTGTGTTGCCTACATCACAATGATTTACGTCAAAAACGTATCAATCTGCTTGATGTTACAATTAAAATATGTACAATTTGAAAACATTTTTGAAGGAAAATTGTCTTATTTTCTACACTTCATGATGGAAAATTAAATTCAATATAAGGAATGAATTTGATAGCTACCCAAGTTATACTGGTATAACCTGGGTTAGTTGGAACAGTTTACACATTTTTGTAAACCGCTTCGCAGTTTATTACGCATAAACTGTTCCAACACAAGTTATACCAGTATAGCTTGGGTAGCTATTAAATTCATTCCTAAATTAGTTCACCCTGAGATGACAGCATATCATTTTTTAATGATTAAAAAATCAAGATTTCAAAGACTTAAACTTTCATGTACATTTGCAGAACTATAAATAAGATAATTTCTTTTTAATTTTAGCATCCATGTCAGTCTGATGCTTCTGTAATTTTTCATGTGTCCGAGTGGAGACAAATGCACGCTATTGCTACCATAGTGCTTACTACATAAGTACTATGCAGGTTGGGCATAGCCCACCCAACGGTCATTTAACTCCCATTTGGTGGTCAATTGCAATCGCCCATATCGGAGACAAATTTTACAGAATGGTGGTCTTTCTTATTCTATTCCAATTTTTATCAAAATAAAGCAGAAGCACATTTGCATAGGTATCGGGGAATAAACATATTCCTTGCACAATTAACACAGTTTGGTCAATTTTCCATGTGCAATTTCTCTGTAACTTTGTAAAAACCATACCCATAGTTGCCCGTAACAGCCGAACATCTTGCTCAATCAATAAAAAAAATCGATTACAAATACTTTGATCAAGGTATTTTATGTAATGAAAATACAAAAAATCCTAAAAAAGTAAACACTGAAAGTTGAGTTATGAGTTGTTGTCAGTAAATTCAGTCATGCATGTATAGTACTCAAACACAAAGAAATCAGTATAAAAGCATGTCATGTGAGGAGACGTTCTTTTATGCTGTCTTTTTGATACCTGAGTACTTTTCATGCACGAGTGAACACACTGACCACAACTCATAATTTGACTTTTAAATTTAATTTTTAAAGATTTTTTTTTTGTATTTTCATTACATAAAATACCTTGACCAAGGTATTTGTAATACCTTGATAAAGCTATATAGCTTTATCAAGCTATATACCTTTATCGGGGTATTGTGCTGGACCTGATAAATATCTATTTTTTATTCCACATGGTTTAAACTTATGCGCAATTCCACAGAATTGAACACAAAGATTTTTCTCTCCCAAATGGTCTATAAATACTGACACCGATATGGGATATGGGCTGTGCCCGACCTGTTATGAGATTTCAATAACTGACACGATTAAAATCACCATCTCACCGAGAAACTTAAGTCATCTTACCACCGGCGTGACAAAAATAAACAGATGTAGCGTGGAATTTAATCAGACTTACCATCTTCCAACCTGAAAAAATTCGCCTTATTGGTCTTTAACTGTTAAAAAAGATTAGGATCACAAGCTCCTGGGTCGAAATGAAAAATGTAAACAATTACAACACAAGATTTTTTCTCTCGCAATTCTCATACCATCGATTCTCTACTAGAATATAGTTATACAAATAAACTCACTTTGAGTCTGAAGAAAATGCAGGTTTGTGTTTTACAATACTAGAACCGGAGACGTTTACAACAGAAAAATTATCTTCGCCCATGCTTTTTACTCATGGGGGCTGCCATTACTTGACATGCGCATATCCTTAAAAATATCATAAAAGTAAAAAGGAGATGATCTGTTATCCGGATTAGTCCTACATACATGATATGCTAAAATTGCGGGAATGAGCGCTTAGCGACGTTTTTCAAAGGGAGAGGGACGACTTAAAAAATACCTTGAAAATTGGTTGACCGTAGCGGTACAGCAACAAAAAGTGGATGGGGGTGGTGGGCTGGGTGGGTGGGGAGCAGTTTCCAAGTGAAAAAATATCTACATATCAAAAAACTAATTTGTTTCCCTTAAAGTTGTTTTTCAAGACTTTTCGCACCAAAATCGGGTCGGTAGATAAGTTAAAAAATGATAATAAAATTTTAGACAAAAAATTATACTTAAACCGACTACTTCCCCTCTCCCCCAAATAATTAAAAATGCATACTAGTTACATGTATCAGTTTATTGTTGGTTATGACACTATCAAAATCCTTTTTTATATATACAATGTATGTATATAGGATATCATATATCAGAAGCTAAAATAACCTGAATCAAACTTTTAAAAAATACCAAATGTCTTATTTGTGGTTAGGTTGTCCCCAAATGGTCGGTCTTGAAAAACACTGCATGCAATATTTCAAAAAAAGTGGCCTAATTAGGGATGATTAATGTTCAACCAATGTCGCTTTAGTTTTGCAACTTGGTATTTTTTTTCAATAAAGTTATAAAAGTAATGCATAAAATAGCATCCAACTTTTACCGCCAGTTCCTTTCATTACGTCATAATAATTTGACGTTGATCAACGTTGATTTCACTAACTTGAAAATATGGACGATTACCACTTGTGGACCTTGATTATAACGTTGTTTATTACCTTTACAATTGTCTCTGGTACCACGCCGACATTTTATATGGTTAACAATGACGGAAGTTGTTCAAACTCATCTTTAAATGGGATTTCCAGTGGTAAAATCATTTCACAAAATGATTCTACTTACCCTAATGGTACAAACTGCAAAGTGACATGGACTTCAGCTCCAGGTAAATTGACGTTCAGTTAACATATTTTATTTGTTGTTCGAAATCAGGTGTAGATAATTTTCAATCCAGATGTCATTGTGGAAAGATGCATATGTAGTCAAAAGATACAGATTTATTGTTTGAATAACCAAGGAATTTTTTTTTCTATGTTAATTTCAATAAATTAGAATTTTTATGACTGTATCGCCATTAAAAATTGCAGATACAGATACATATAATTAAGAGCGTCCCTCCTTGCCTGTCTAACTGTCTGTTTATTTATTACGTGCAACAATGTTGCCGTCTCATTTTTATGTCCCCGCCAAGAAATTGCCGGGGCATATAATTATAGTGGTACCCCTTTCCGTCCGTCATTCCGTCATGTTACTTTCTTTGTAAGTGATCACCATTTGACGCAGAATGAGTATGCTGTGGTATAGATAAAGAATGTAGCAGTATATTCCATTTTTGTGTCATTTCCACCCATGGTTATTTTTACACACTTGGGAACTTCACATTTTTAAAACATTTTCAACGGGGGCATTCGTGTCATACTGACTCATCTATTATGACCTCATGAATGACTTTGACCTGCGAGTTTGACCTGCTTTTGTCAGTTTAACTTTAACCTTGGCCATGAGCTGCCATACGGGGGAATCAGTGTTTCACAAACACACCTTTGTTTTTTAGACGGAAATCGTTCAAGTCTACATCATTGCAGCTTAACTGTGTACATAGTATAAAACTTAGTTAATTAAAAACCTTCTTCCTTCATTATAGGTTCCAAGGCCCTAGTCATTGTGACCCTTGACCTGGCTGACGCTGTTAATGACACATGTGTAGATCGTTTGGAAATCAACGGAACGGCAACGATGTCCAACTCAAACCAGACACTTTGTGGAAACGGATATGGTACCATTACAATTTTTTTTTACCATTATCAACAAAGCTGTAGAAAAATCTCTTCGAAATGATATATATTGCACGTTCCAAATTATACATTGTACGTGTGAACCTCGGTATCTCGAATTTCGATATATCTCTTCTACCATGGAAATGTCAAAGTTAGTTGGTTATCTCAACCACTTTTTTCTTGATGTATTTTAACCTCAGTTTCCGAATCGTCAGATATTTCGGAAATTTTTATCCGCCCATCGAGTTTGAAATAACGAGGTTTCAAATATTTCGAGAAATTTTTTTTCCTCTAAATTATAAATCTTCTTGTTAAGATCAGTTTAAATACTAGTAGCTTATTTGTGAATGTCTACAGGAACTAATCAATTGTTCGAATTTGACGACACCCCCATTACGCTTTCCTTTGTGACACAAGCCAGTAAAACATACAATGGTCAGGGTTTTAGCATAGTCGTAACAGCATTCACAGAGAAATCAGGCGCAAACTGCTCGGGATCCGAGTTCCTCTGCGACACCAACAGGTACATTCTACTCGATAGATATTGATAGGTAGAGACTTATTCAGATCCATATACACTGTCATTTATTCCTGATATCTGAAAATATGAGTTCTTTCTGACAAAGTTCAGTAAATCAAAAGTAAAGATTCGTATGAAAATAATCTGTATTTTCCAAAATACATTTTTTGAGAGGGGGCCATATATTGAATGTTTTACCGGTTTACATTTGTTTGTTTCACATTTGTCTACTCATTATGTATCAATATAGGTGCATAAATACTTTCCTTGAGTGTGAAGGAGAACAAAATTGTGTGGATAATGCAGACGAAGGCTCTTGTTCAAGTACAACCGGTGCAACAACAGCAACACCAACACAGTCCTCCTCAAATATCTCCTCAAATTCAACTGGGACGACAACCTCTTCTACTGTAAACGTCACGTCTTCAAACCAATCAACAACACAGAGTTACTTAAGCTCCTCCTCCAATTCAACTGTCCAATCAATGATAATAACTGCAACCACTCAGAAGTCGGGAGAAACGGTTGTATACAGTTTTAAAATACATATACATTTATTTTAGTTACGACAAAAACGTACGTGTTTATTTATACATGTATTATAATAATTTAATTCTGGTTGTATTCTATCCTCTGATTGGTTAATATCCAAAAAAGAACACAGGTTAAATTTGTATAACCTCTTTTGGTATGGGGACACGCTCCCTGACAACCAGCTGAATCATCGGTATCCATGTAATCCTCTCATTTCAGTCCTTGGGGTTCATGGAAATACATGTATATGGAGAAAACGAACAGTATTCAAGCTCAAAAGTCCATTAAACATTACAAAATAGGTGCAGAGCAAACACGGACCTTCAAAACATCAGAGGTGGGATCAGGTGCCATGGAAGAGTGAGCATCCCCTCTCGACCGGTCACACTCGCCGTGTGCTCCTTGTCATAATCGGGAAATAACGGAAAAATCCATCGACAATTCAGTGTGTAAATAATGGCCCAACAATTAGTATAAAAAACGTCAGTCAGCATTTGACTCAATGATAAATTGTATTTGCTGACAAGGTCATTGTATAGACCATAGAACTTACGAAATGATGACTTTAAACGAGACTGCTGATATTCTTGTTTCATCAACTTGTTTGTCAATAATTTACCTCGTTTTAGAAATTGCACATGCGTAGAGCATGCTCTTGTGTATCGAATCAACTGAGAGATATAAACCCCGTATGCAGGTGATGAAGGTATATTGCTGCATAAGTAAGGGAAGTTGACGATTGAAAAGTTAAAGTCATCACGATTATCATGTGGAAAATTCCACATTTAATAAACCTTTAACTTCAAACAGTAACTCGATCTACCACATATAAACAACAACATGGCTGCAAGGCCTGTGTATCAATTTCTGGATCCCCTCACTTCCGTTGCTACGATTGTATTATTGAGCGGCATAATTTGAACTAATAAAAAGCAATGAAATTCTACACTCACATTTGTTTCATGATTTAAAAAATAAATTATAAGGGCTCTAATTTTTGGCCAAGTTATTCGAGTATAACCTGTTTTTGGTAAGTTTACACTGTTTTATAATCCGCTTCACGGATTATAAATTAAAGCGTAAACTGAACTAAACCAGGTTATACTCGAATAACTTGGCCAAGTCTGAAGAATTAGGGTCATTTCTAAAGTACAGTTTTGTTGAGATATTCATTTTAATGAAATTTGGAACTTCCATATAATCTCAGTTTTCAATTAAGTTGTATGCGTGACATACATACATTCATTACACTTAAATATATCTAAAGACTCCAAATAAATAATTAAAACAAAACAGTATAAACAGTATTTGACACTATTACATATGTATGTGAAGAGTTTGTAGTTCATTCCTTAACTTTTTTCTCGAAATAATAAATAATAATTATTATCATGAATGAAAATAACGTCATTACTTCTCATTTTACAGCCCGCCTTCTCTGGTCTTGGAGAAAAGGCAGTACTAGTAATCATCATTCTGTCATCAGCATTGGTCGTTACAATTATCATCACCGCAATCGTTTACAAGGTTTGGTGTACGAAAAACGTTGTTCGCCCTGTTCTCGAAGTAAACGAGGCTCCAACAACATCTTTTAAGCCAAAACCAGCTCCTAAATCGGATCCTAAACCAGCTCCTGAGCCGACTCCTAAACCAGCTCCTGAACCGACTCCTAAACCGGCTTCTAAGCCGGTACCCCGGAAAGCCCCGCCAAGTGAGTCAACCAAAACAAAACCAAGCCCTCCAAAGAAAGCCCCACCCCAAAAGGGCAAGAGCTTGAAGAAAGATGCCTGGTAAACAGTAATTTTGCTCATTAAAATTTTTTCCTAAAGTTTTCTTTCTTTTTTAATTCGTTTTCTGGTAAAGAATAATATACATCAATGCATTAGATTTAATTGTAAATATGTTTACTATTAATAAGATATCGAAATGATGATAACAAAGTATGTATTATCAATAAAGCTAATTTGTTCTGGTCCCTATAAGGCAAAGTGAGAACAAGATGTGTTTGTGAAACATTGATGCCCCCTTATGGCAACTTATAGCAAAGGTTATACTTTCTCAAATGCAAACTAAATATGTTGGTACCCAAAGTAATGTCTTGTCTCGAGAAATATACCTGTGAAATATGAAAGCCCTAGCAGCAACCATTGAAAAAATATGGAAAAGGTTAAAAGTTTTTCAAAAGTAAGTCAAACATCAAGGTCAAATGGTCATAATTAATGGTGTCCAAGGAAAGGCCTTTAACCTTGGCTATAACTTTTGAACAGTATGAGCTAGGGCTTTCATGCTTCACATATGTAATCTTTGTGACAAGAACTTCCTTTGGATAACAAGAACTTTGACCTTGATCTTGGAGTTGACATTCTTTTGGAAAACATTAACTTTGGCCATTACTTTTAAAAAGTTGCTTCTAGGGCTTTCATACTTTACATAAGTAATCCATGTGATAAGATCTTACTTTGGATACTAACAACTTTGACCTTTTGTTCTTGACCGTGGAGTTGACCTTCTTTTGAAAAACTTTAACCTTGGTCATTACTTTTGAACAGTTGGTGCTAGGGCTTTCACACTTCACATTTGTAATCCTTGTGACAAGACTTTACTCTGGATACCATCAACTTTCACCTTTTGATCTTGACCTTGGAGTTTGACCTACATTTGAAAAACTTTAACCTTGGCCATAACTTTTGAATGGTTGGTGCTAGGGCTTTTATATTTAACATGTGTATTTCTTGTGCGAAGGCTTTTCTTTGGGCACCATTAGTTTTGACCGTGACCTTAACTTTTCAATGGTTGCGCTAGGGCTTTCATATTTCACAGGTATATTCTTCGAGACAAGACCTTACATTGGGTACCAACATATTTGATTTGCATTTGAGAAAGTTTATCCTTCGCTATAAGTTGCCATACTGGGGCAGCAGTGTTTCACAAACACATCTTGTTTTCTATTGGAAAATAAAACACAAAAAACCCAAACAAAACCCCACATTTGAATTAATTAAGTAACCATGACATTAGGTTAGCTAAGCTACTGTTCTGTTTCCACATCATCGTCCGAAATACGTTTTTGATTTGCTATTTCTTTCTTTATTCACAATTATCTAAATTCTAGGAATGTAATAATGTATTGTGGATATTAGCTGAATTAAGAAAAATCATTATCTTTGTTATTTGAAATAAGTAACACAGATCTACCGAACAAGTGCAATATCATACAAGCGAAAATCAAAATTTACTCTCATATTGATCAGTTTAACGTTAGTAGCTGCTGCAATGGCTTTTCCATTAATTGTAACTTACCCAAAGGATGATACAGGGATTCTCACCCTTTGACTTCCTCGTCCGTGTTCACACTTTATAAGCAACATACACGCGGAATGTAAATATACGTATTCAAAGTATAAATAATTATATAAAACATAATTTATATATATGTAACAAAGGTTTATGAACATGTGTTTAATATAATTTGCTTGTTTTTTGTGTCAGCAGTCTTACGCAGTCCACCAAAAAAGACAAGAGTTGATTCAAAAACTTAAAAGTATAATAAGCATTTCAAGTCACATAACACCATAAAATGAATATGACAATTAAATATAACATATTTGATGACGTCAATACGCGTGGCCCCGTATTACATAGGTCACTATCACGACAACAGTTCTTTGTTACACATCCACGTGATCCATGAAGTTCGGAAGAACAGTTTTTGAAATCATTTTTGGGAAGACAGTTCCATGCGCAACCCCTCACTGTAGAATCATAAATTCTGTTATCCATTGTACTGTACATAGAGTAGTAAACTTTCTGAAATGTACAAATAAAAATTTATATCAATTCATGAAACTATTCTTTCAAATTAAAGCAGTTATAAAATTAATTATTTTCTTCTTCATCTTTCATCAATTTAGAAAAAAAAAACACTCTAACTATAAGATACTATAAAATTACCTTGAGTATAATAGAAACATATTTTTGAACTTACACTGGCAAAAACTAAGACTTTTTAAATATCATCATAATCAGAATAGTGACAAGATAATTAAGGAATGAATGTAATAGCTAGTAGACCCAAATTATATTGTATAACTTGAGTTGGGTCAGTCTATGCTTTATAAACCGCAAAGCGGTTTATAAAAATGCGTAAACTGTTCCAACCTAGGTTATAACTGTCCAGTATAACTTGGGTAGCTATTAAATTCATTCCTGACAATTAATTTTCTATCATTAAGTGTAGAAAATAAGACAATTTCTCCTTCAAAAATGCCTTCAAATTGTACATATTTTAAATGTAATAACATCAAGCGGACTGATACGTGTTTGACGTAAGTCATTGTGACGTAGAGAACACAGGTTATACGATATAAACTAATTTTTTATCCAATGAGATGACGCGTTACAACCAAAATTAAATTATTCATTATTATGAAGGGGAATTATTACTTCACAGTAACCTGGAGATATTGCCCGAAACTAGTCAATTTACCACTTCACATTTATCTAGCGATATTGCCCGGCAGTGCACAGTTAAATTATTAGTACAATACTATAATTATATATATATATATATATATATATATATATATATATATATATATATATATATATATATATATATATATATATATATATATATATATATATATAAAATGACTATATTGTTGACTGGATTCTGGGTTACCTGACAATACTGCCAGGGTGAGCCCTGTTTTTAAACCTTACCTGACAATACTGTCCCGGTGAGCACTCTTTTTTCACAGCTTTGTAATTTTCACTGGGATCTAAGTCACAGTTCTTTGAAATACAGTGCCAACACTTTAAACCCAACGAGATCCCTGTAAATTGTATAGATAACTGTGTAAATAATGAAAACAAGAGGCACAAGGACCCGAGTATATATAGTATGTGTAATTTACATTAGTGTGTTGCACTCCTGACATCCGATATGCATTTTATTTATCATTGTTTTAATATTATTATGAACAATAACCCATTCAAAGTTTGTAAATCAGTTCGTCGTTTTGATATTTTGTATAATTTACAGCAAGTTTTTCATATTTTCAAGACTCCAAAATATGATTATTTGCAATGTGTAATATATATACATTGTAGAAAAAATATACATGTTTGTTAAGTGATGAAACTATTCTCTGAACTGACTGTAAAATGTATAAATAATATATCTGTATAAATTAAATGTTTTGAACATCAAACAGTATCAAACATTTTTTATCCAATTTATTTGTTAGTAAAAATAGATAAAGATCATTAATAATTTTAAAACAGTTTTGTTGCAATCCTGACTACAGTAAAAATTAAAATTAAAACCATAGAATACAAAAATTCATAAAGCTTTGGCAACATCAAGTGGTAAGGATATTGCGCAATATTTATAGTCCAATACTTCATGGTTAAAACACATAAAAGTATTCAAACTTGGCTTTATATCTTGAATTATTAAGAAGAGATTGGGCTTTCATATTTGATATGTACAGTACCTGTGACAAAACCTTTAAAAATCTATGCTATGATTTTTTACCCAATGACCTTAAAGTTTGACCTACTTTTTAAAAAAATTAACATTACCTTAATTTGGTCATTAAATTTAAAGGAGAAAAGGAAAGGCTTTCATATTACACAAATACATTTCCTGTGACAAGACCTTTCCAAATATATTATGGCTTTTGACCCTGTGACCTTGAAGTTTGAACTACTTTTCAGAAAGTTTAATCTTTGCTTATAACATTTGATGAAGAAGAAATGGGGCTTTCATATTTGACATGTACATTACTGTGGAATACCTTTCCAAATATGCTAGAATTTTTTACCCCTTGACCTTGAAGTTTAACCAAGACAGTTACAATATGCCATAAATAATGGCATCCCATCCACAAAGACACCGAAAGCAGGGGGCCACAATTCTTTGAATTTGCTTGTTTCAGCTCTGTATTTTGTTACATTTAGTTGTAACTGTACCCGTTAATTTTTCCGAACTGTACATCAAAAGAGTGTGTATCATAATAATCAAGGAATATCGAAGTTAAAGATTTCTTCGTGCACCTTTTCTAACTTTGCCAAGTTAGGACGCGGAGCAGAAAAGATCAATTTTCCAACTTAAGACGAAGAGCAGAAGGTAGAAGAATAAATCACGTCTTGTGTACAGAAAAAAATCGAAGACATGTAGGTTTCAGCGATTTACTTTTATACTCTATGGTAAATAAATTAGCTTGAAAGAAAAAAAAAACTAACAGAGATAAATATTAGAAAAGCTGTAAGACATTCGATCGAAACGACGAGAGAAATCTTGTATACCATTGTAAAAAATTTACCAAACCTTAGGAACTATTTGCCATGGTGACTTAAACGGAAGTTAATCCTGCTTAACAATATTATAATACTTTAGCTAGCAAACATGGCGAATGTCTATTATCTATAGGAAACCATAATTACTCTCTTAGAACCATTACTTATAACCATCCGCTGATAATTAATTTCCTTTTACGACGTTTATTACCAGAGAGGTTTCATTATTAAGATTTATGGATCTTTTGTGCGTTTTAAAATAAAGTCAGATAACGTGTCTGTTTAATTTTATCAAATCCATCTATCAAACCCTGGACACTAATTGGATATGGTGCAGTCATGGACATTCACAGTTAATGTTTTGCTCTTTTTTCCATCATTATTTAAACAAATATGCACGATTTCTTAAAACTTATTTTCTTTCATTCCACGATGTTAACCTTATATGCAGTCATTAATCTATATGCAGATACATTAAAACTCGGTTATAGCGAAGTCGATGGGACTGTAAATTTACGTGACTGTATTCATAATTCGTTTCATCCGTAGAACGAATTAGTTAAACTTAAAGTATATACATATATAATGTATAGCAATTTCGCAATATAGATTTTTTTCCCTTCAAGTACATACATATATGACTACCAAATGTATTTATAGAAGTATATATAATGTATATTAAAAACAATAGTTACCTAAGATTTTTCAAGTTTTCGGATGAATTAAATTTCAATAATAAATACTTAGAAAATTAATGTCAGTTTAGGCGATATTTTTTCTCAACCAAAAATAAAAATAAAAAAAATTCAGCAATATGTTTTCTTTTTTAAGTATTAGTAAGTGTATGTCTTTATCTTTTTGATTAAGAAACATTTTCTTTTTTCATTAATTCAGACTGATTTTTTTTAAATTGCAAAGGTTAATGAAATATAGAATTGAATAATATAGGCAAAAAATAAATAAATAAATAAGACACGAAACAATTTCTTTAAATTTGTGTTATTTTCATATTAAGATTGATAAAAGGATAGTTAGAAAGACCATAAAATATTATGCTTCTTTGAAACAGAAATCCACTCTGCTGTATAATTAAGTTTTTACTTCTCTGTCACAAATAAAATTTTTTTTCTCTCTATAATTAGTTGTGGAAAGATAAACAATGTGCCATATCACATCGGTTGGTCTTTAAAACAGATAATCCGTGTTTGGTACAAGTTAATTCTGGACATTAAATAGTCCGTCGCATTAACCTTTTCAAATTCTGTAATGTTCAAAGATCACACATTAGAATCAATCATTCAGTTCTGCTCTTTTAATTGATCATTCAAGGACATTTTTAATATCAGGTTGCAGGGAAACGAAATTTTCATCCTTGAATCTTTAACACGTCTGTAATCAATACTTGGATGCAATGTTTCTTGCTTTACTAAAGTAAACACTGCGCGGAGGTCGGTTTTCCTGTTTGCACTACGTCTTGTGATTACTGCTAGGCTCTCATGCAATGCTCATCATCAGCCTGTTTAAAAGTTTCTTGAAAAATTCTTATTTTTTCCCCTTTTATCCAAGTCACAGCAAACTTAAATCACATTTAATAATCAATCTGTTTGATCTCAAACATTTGCATAAGGAGTGAAAGGCATGCTGTGCTGTTGTTTGCTTACGCAATGTATAATCAAATTTGTGTATGTTCATTAAGACTCTAGACGATTCCCTATCGACCTTAAAGACTGTTACTGCATCATTTCCTTGTGCAGGAATTACGACACAGATTAACTTTTTGAATCACACTTAAGATTTATTTCTTTCTTTGAAGCATACATGTATACAAAGAAGCAAGATAAAATCTCTGTTATTGTTACCGTCATTTCCCAAGCCATTCTTTTTCTTCAGAACATTCTGCTTTACTGCGTTTTTGTTGCCGAATGACCATAAAATCTACAGACGTACACGTGCTTGTAGAATATTAAACTCCCTACTTCTCTAAATACTTGAGATAAAACATAAGTAAAAATCGACCATCTCAGAATATGACTTTGGCAATGTGGAATACATGTATATTTTTCATATTTAAAATGATTTTACTTCTACACGCAATACAAACATCCGAGATACATGTATCTTAGGGTTAGTCAGGGTATTAACATGATTAACGTTAACTGGGAACGCAAATGACGAAATATGATTCTACATGTTCTTCAGCATTTTGCATGCAACAAATTGTTGATATCAAGTACGTACTATAGTCATTAGAAAATCATTAAAAGCAAATATATACTGTATATAGAATTCTCATCTTAGCAGTGTGTACCAAAAATCTCAACCAAACCAGTAATTACATACAAAATTTATTTTCTCAAAGAATTCAAATGAGTACGCTGTAAAGGCATCGATATTCATTTTAAAAGTTTTTTGCAGGGATAGTCGTTATTCAAAAGCAATTGATAGTTTTTGATTGATTTATTAATTACGTCAAAAGCCCATTTTGAATGAATTATTCGTCATATTCGTGACTTGATTAAACTTTTGTGTGCAATTAAAAATAGTTTTAATGAAATGGCAAGTTTTCTTGAGTGCTGAGAAAGATAATATAATGAATGCAACCAAGTATAAAAATGATGGCAAGTTATCTTGAGCAGATATTTGTATCAAAAAATAAATAACATTTTAAAATTTTCTTTCAAATCATGGTATTGATTTGAACACATTTTATAGTATAAATATTATACATATGGTTTGAACATAAGTTCCAGCAGCTTACGAGGTTCTCACCATAACTAGCTACAATTGCCAATGTCTATAGAAAAAAAAACTTGAATGTACGAAGAGGTTTGTTTTATATAAACATTTATTACATGTTAAATATATAACTGATTAGAGTTCCGGTGTTACGCTGTACATAATGTTAAAATAAATGTACCAGAATCTTATATATATATATATATATATATATATATATATATATATATATATATATATATATATATATATATATATATATATATATATATATTGATATATATATATATTGATATATTGATATAATGAAGAGAAAAGGATAAAAAAAAAGTGTTCCTAAATTTATTTTTGTGAATTCTGCTACCGCATAATTCTTTTCATTTAACATTACAGTATCAAAGAGATCAGATTACCCATATACATTGCTTTAGAACTAAAAGAGTTATGGAAATATTACGAAGTTCAAAGTAAACAATTTTTTTGAAATTATTTACATAGAGAGTGACTGTGATTTCTGAAACTTCTCTGATGTTTTTCACACCTCTTAGCGAACTTTTCAACTTGGCATTGAATGTTATTAAAAAGAAGCACTCAAAATATCTTCTTACAGAATTGGAATAAACGTTGAACAAAGGAACTAAGGAGCTTTGAATTCTGTTCTATGTTTATCGGATTGAGTACGGATTAAGTATACGTGAATATAAACCGTAATGACTTGAAATTGAAAGGTACGTGTATTAATAGGCAATTTATTTCCAAAAATCCATTATGGTTTGGTTTGAATGCACGTCGAAATGATTTCTTTCGATATTGATAGTTCTTGTACAGATATGAGCGCCGTGAGAAATGCAGTAATTATTAACTGTTTGACATGCAGGGGTAAAAATCACTCTAAAGAAAGGCAAGTCAAAATAGAAATCATTAACATCCTGTATGACTTGCTGATAAAAAAAAAGATTGTCAGAGAGGCAATAATCGATTATCAAAACAGATTATAATGCACACATGGTTTTTTAAAATGACTTCACTACTTTCGGAACTCTTTATTGCAAACCGCAGTAGATGAGAGAAAATTAGCAGTAATCCAAAGACTACTGTTCTCATTTGTATCAATACTTACAGGTTTTAATTTGGCAAACTTCTTAAAAAGTAATTATAGGCCAGTTCATTGCTTTTAAACCAAAGGAAAAAATAATCTGCTAGTAGAGGTGATTAAATCAAGTTCAATTGATTCCACTGAAACCATCCCGATACATGATGGTATATGCATGAGGAACAAAATGTATCAAAACATTTAATGATATCTCAATCGTTAGAGGTAGGTATTATATATAATATAAATATATAGAGGATCTCCCATAATTTGTGGTTGAATATTTTTTATCCAACTAGTTGTGTATTTTTATCCCCTCGCCAAGGCTCGGGAATAGAAACCACAACTCGTTGGATAAAAAAAATCATATTCAACCACAAACCATGTAAGATCTTATATATATTTGACAACTTCATTTATAAAAAGATTATAGGAGAGCAGACATATAATTATAAGTAATATAATAATATCAGAAAAGGTGTACACACGTAACAAAGAGAGAAAAGTCAATATTATACTGTGTCTTATGATTTAGGAACATTGCCAATTAATGGATATGTTGTAAGTTGCATGCATTATTCTTTAAAAGGTCGAAAAAGTAATAGTAGGTTAAATCATATACATACGAATCTTGAAATTCTAATCTCAAGTAAGGTCTAAGCAAGGTAAGAAAAGTCATATTTATACGACTCATTACGCATAAATATATCGTTGATGCTAAATTCTCGGTCAGAATCATGTCCATAAATGTAAAAATTTAGATAGCTGCTTACAAGTAAGATAGATATGAAGATTAAAGAAAAATAGTTCTGAAAGATTGTTATGATACGTACCTGATACATGCAAGAAAATCCAGAAGGTCAGAAAATGCTTATAAAATCGCACCATTTTACATTTCTAATGCCATTTTCCCTCGTGCACAGCTTTAAACTTAATGAATTTCCCCTTCTTCAGAATTTACAGTTCTAAATTTAATTTTTTCTGGCATCGCTTAAATAAACAATCACGTCTAAATATTTGTTTACTTTTCAGAAAAAATAATCATTTCCCAATAACCTTATCACCGAGTTTTCATCAGAAATTATTCGCTAAAGACTAATTGTAGGCATTCCGAATCCTATTAAACGTTCTACAAATCCCACCTTCTCGCTGATAACCGCTTTTAATAGTGAAAACAAAACAAGATACAACCCAGGCTTATGAAAATGGATTATTAAAGCATTGATCCTTCCAGAGCATTTTGTGCACTAATCTTTCACTGCGTTTATGATGCCTTTTCTAAAATAAGATGATTCGATCCTCTGTACGTTTCACATCAACGCATATTTTTGTCCGATAACTAAAGTGAATACATGAGCTATCTTCATTAGCTTCACAAATATATTTTTGATTTTTCCAAGAATCATTTATCGTCCTTTAGTGTCTATAGTCAAAATATGCAATAATATCTCTTTTAAAATGTGAAAAAAATTATGTAATAAATTGCATCATGCATTGTTCCTAACATAATGAAATTTACTATCTATATACAACTATAGGAATGCTGAAATTGATTGTTTGATCGATAACACTAGGGTCTTTAAAATTGAAAAGATATTGAAAGAAGCTTTTTATTGCCATGAGTCATTTAGAGAGTTAAAAAGATACACCAATAAGCCGTTTGAGATGGATTTCCCAAATTATTGTGTTAAATCTATTAAAAGTTTTGTATATATTGATATGAAAGAGAGTGGCATAAAAAAAAATCGGATTTTAGAAACCTTTTTATATTATTTTCGTAAACCTTTTCGTCAAAAATATAATTTATTTAACAAAATATAATATAGTATATAAGGCTTTATAATGAAATTTCATGTCAGGATTTCCAGTATAACATTTTCTTATGATTCATTAAACAATTAATAATGAATAAATCCATATTGTTTCAATATTCAATTCATTTTTAAAATTTTTGTCATTTTGAATACGTTTTGACTTTCTGTTAAAATGACAATGCCCAAATAATAAATCGATATAAATATCATAACATTGGCATTTTACTGATTTTGCATCATTCAACAATCTAATTAAAATCAGACGTCTCATAGATCCGCGCCGTAACTCTGCGTTCCCAAACAAAGTTTCTAAGGCGCGGATCTAAGAAGTCTGATTTTAAATCAGATTGCATTACTCGAGTAACTCATTTAAAAAATTAAATGGATTTAATTATACAATTATATAATCAATCCTTTATCCTTAGGGGACAAAATTCCCCTGTTTCTAAATCTAGAATTATCTTCCACTTAACAAAGCCAGCACTAGTGTAAACATGTGCCCATATTTTGGTGCCTTTAATTATGACATCTTTACGACCGAGGAGAAGGCATGTTTGAAGTGTGTTATCGCGCAACAGTTTTAGCTGCTTTATTTCATATTGTTAAACATGAAAAATGTCATAAAATAAGCATAACTTTAGCTACAGTACATATCTATCTTCAAAAGTTGTTTTATCCTTTCGATGAAGAATTTTAAACCGGTGTGTATGAGTAATTTATAGCATTCTTCGCCAATTAAACAATAAGTGAATTTCTTTTTGTATGAATATTTGTTAATTTCTTACAGTTTCAATTCCTCTACTCTACCAGAGCCTCTCATACATTCAATAAAGATATCACTGCATAGAGAAATTGAGAATTTATTAAAAATACATTTTTTCTCTCAGAATAAGTGGAAGTATTTGTGCCCCGACTATACAACAGATATATAAGCGTTTCATTTTTCCTGCTGAGACCGCATTTGCTGTCTATGTTTAACAATCCAATAGTTTTACAATTATATGAAGCAGACAAAACAAGACATGATTGTGAAACACTGATGCCCCCATATGGCAGCTTATGGCGTTTCAAACTCCAAGGTCAAGGTCAATAGATCAAAAATGTCGTTACCCGAAGAAAGGACTTGTGTCAATGAATATACCTGATAAATATGAGAGCCCAAGAACCAACCATTCAAAAGTTATGGTCAAGGTTAATGTTTTCTAAGAGTGGATAAGACTCAAAGGTCAAGGTCAAAGGGTAATAAGAAATATAAATGCAAAATATAAAAGCACTAGCACCAAATGTTCAAAATTAAAGGCGAAGGTTAAAGTTTTTCAAAAGTAGATCAAACTCCAAGGTCAAGGTCAAAAGGTCAAACTTGTTGGTATTCAAAGCAAGGTTTTGTTACAAAGAAATTTCCTGTGAAATTTGAAAGCCCTAGTACTATTTGTTCAAAAGTTTTGGCCAAAGTTTTTTTAAAAGTTGGTCAAATTCTAAGGTCAAGACCAAAAGTTCAAAAATATTAACACCCGTGGAAGTTCTTGTCACGATGGATACACATGTGAAATATGAAAGTCTTAGCACCAACTGTTCAAAAGTTAAGGCCAAGGTTTAAAATGGGTAAATTTTTGAAAAAAGTGGGCCAAACTCCAAGGTCAAGAGGTCAAATATGTTGGTACCTAGTCACAAGGCATGTGAAATTTGAAAGCCATAGCTCTAACCCATCAAAAGTCATGGGAAGGTTAAAGTTTTTGCGGACAAACAGACAGCTAGACAGACAGACGGACAGGGCAAAACAATATATCCCCGAAATCATTTACCGGGGTATAAAAAATTATCAAAATGTAGGTTTATATGTTTTTCCATTATAGATTCATACCATGTAGAATAGATCATTTAACATGCTTTCGTTGTAGGTAAAGAATAAAAGGGAGAGATATTAATAACAGTCAAAATCTTTCAAGTCTTACAGATGCAGTTTATCGATCCTATAAGTATGGGAATAAATCCTTACCATTTATATCTTGATTAATATAGAACTACAAACTCCTTATTTAGATGTCTGCTGTAGAACATGAAACCAATAAAACGAAAGACGAAAGCCCGAACTTTGCTGTACATATTCTCAATAAAATAAAAGGAACTTAAGTTCTGTATGGCCTCATATGTACGTAAATTTCTTTATCAATTCAGAGCAACACACGCACACGGATAGAAAATATTGAAAGTAATCATATATAATACTATATTCAAATCAATTCATCATAATTTAATTTCATATAAGTTTTTGTAGGTTCACCACAACAGAGGTCAATTCTTATTTAGTATTGTTTCCGAGGTCAAAGTTCGAGGTCAATTAAAGGTCAATTGAAACTTGGTAATTAAGACATTCCTTGATTCTTTGCCAAGGATTGCATCTAGAATTTGAATTTAGAAATGATAATCAGAATATTTAATCTTCATCAGAGGTAAATAAGTTTTACAAACAAATAGAAGGCCAATACTCACTCTAACGGATTTCCGAATTATCTCTGATTGAAGATCAAATCAGACTGGTGTATTTGAAACATTCTGATTAACCTCATTACATTTGACGATGATAATGGAAATATGTCATCTAAAATTCAGCAAAATGGATCATACCGATAAAATTAATTATTGTAGACGGATCAACACATACATGTAGTCCGCTATTAAAGTAAAGGAGGCTCATATACGATCCTTGAATCTGTTTTGCAAAGGTCAATCAGAGAAATAATCATCTTTATAACATTTTCAAGTGAAATACTAGTACTGTAATTTATTTATGGAATAAAAATAAAATATTTTTTTCAAAGTGTGAAAAGATCAAAGTGGCATTTTTTTTTTTACATACTATGAACAAATATTAAAAGTACATGACTTTGATGAATAAAATAGTATTACAAAATGTTAATCAGGTCCATAGCCCATATTAAAAAAGTCGACCTGTTGATATTGGAAATCAACACTACACTTTTTAACCCCCTGAAATCAAAACAAATTGGTCCAGCGATGCATGCATGATCACCACCTTTAACACAAGGATTATATTATACAGCTTGGCCAATCTTTAACACAAAGATTATATTGTACTCCTGGCGTTCATTTAGGACATCATTGATATCTGTCTATACTTGACAGACCACCAGTCACTGAGATTTCTAATTATTGACATTTATTTAGTAAGTAAATGTACATGTATGTCAGTTAGATGATCACCAGTCACTTTGAGATTTCTATAGAAATATTCATATTAACATTAAATTTCATGTCACTTGTAAACTGTGTCCAACCTTTTAACCATACCATATTTGACAGGTATTGTGAAAATGACAAAATAAAATCGAATGATCTTGTATTTCAAGGTGTTACCTTTATCGAACTGAGTTCTTATCAGACATGTTTTGAGTGCAATATTGATGTGGTATTTAATAATCATTAAGTAATGACAGCAAACTTGAAGTCATGTTGTCCTTCATCAACCCAACTAGCAATTGCAGGCACGTTTCTTGTATCTTGGTTATTTTTAAAACCACATTTCTTGTGTTGCCTTAAAAAACTGACAATTCATTTCGGATGATAAAACAAAGTCAACTGAACGTTTCATTCACAAATTATTTATGTCTCACAACATGCGTCTCCAGAACAAAAGTGATAAACTCTTAAAAATGTCTTTTTATCTTTTTAAATTAACAAGCACCATATCAAAATATAAAATATATTCCTTTAAAAAAGGAATCAAGAATTAGCACGTAAAATACAAAACTCAATAAAAGTAAACGAAAAAAAAAATATCACCTTAAGCTTACTAAATTGTGAAATACATATGACCTAATATATATACTCATACAAGAAATAACCATTATCTAATAGTATTCGGAGATCTGTCAAGTTAACAATACAAATTTAAAGCAGAGCAAACATGGACCCCTGAGAAAATCAGATTTGGGATTACGTGCGATGAAGAAGTAAGCATTCCCAGTCGACTTTTCAAACACACACTTTATGAGTCCTTTGTCTTTATCGGGTAAATGGAGTATTCCGTAGACAAGTCAGAGTGAAAATATTGGCCAAACAAATTATTTTATAAACGTCAGTCAATATTTGACCTAACGCATGTTTTATATGCAAACAAAGTCAATGCATATACAGAATTTGTGAATGTTGAATTTAGATGAAAAGGTGATATTCTCATACCATTTATTTGTCGGTAGTCTTCCTAAGTTTAGAAATTGTTCGTAGGCAAACTAAGCTCTTGTTTATCGAATCAACTACGACACATAAACTTCATATGCAGATAATAATGATATATTGCTACATAAATATATAAAGGGACATGGCGATAGGAAAGTTGAAGTCATCACTTTTATCTTAAAGTTCGGTTTT